CTTTACCACTCTTGTGGTTCTGTGCTCGCACTCGTGCACAGTACTTAGTGGCATTAGCGTCCATGCTCGCTACAACAGCAGCAATGGAAGGAATTCCATTTTCAGTCGGGGAGGGGTGGGTGACGTCGGCGCCAAAGATAATAACAGGTTCTCTGAAAACAGGCGACTTTACACCTGGATCTATAACATGATTAATTCCACCAAGTTTGGAGTTAATCTTCAACGCAATGTTGGCGCAAACCTGGGGGTTGGTACGGTTTACGTGTTTTGACTGAACACACTGCGTTGGAATTCCAATGACATTGTCTCCGACACGTTTTATCTCCGGATAGATTTGTTTGTCTCTCTCGGGCAGAATAGCCATGATCAGTTGTAGGCCTGGAATGTCCACAACCCATTTAGAAAACAAACTCTCTACCTGAAAGTATTAAAAATGAAATAAAATCATGGAAGCCTACATGAATTCAAACTCTACTTGTTTTGTAATAAAAGAATTCTAATCTGTCCATAAGTGTAACACAATTTGCCGTTATCATTCTACGAGATGGATCTAACACAGGAGCACTAATTGCTACCTTACGCGTGATCTGAGTTTCTGTACAAAAGTACACCTTATTTGAAAGTTCACCATGTAATACAAACGGACATTTTGCTCATTGCTCGTCGAATGAGGCATATGCTCTTCCACCGCTGTTTCATTTTCAAGTTTCCAAAATAATCCCTAAGGCATTACTTGAGGGTCGTATCGATCGCTTAAGGAGCGCGTGAAATACAAAAAAAAAAACACAAATAAAGCAATCTACAAGTGTCCTACGTGACGAAGAGAGAAACAATTCTCTTTTACCTGAGAATTCCTTGCTTGCAAAGTAGAGCCTTAAGGGCGTAAATAATCAAAGCTTGGATCGTTAGTAGCGCCACTCAATTCCTTTGACACCCAATCACTACCCGATGAATAAGTAAACAGCACTGTCCACTCATTCTTCACTGTTCATAGTTTTAGCAAAGAGTACCCTTCTGAACTCTGCTCGGTGGATTTTTCAATGACACTCATTTCGTTTTCACGTAACACTTGTCAAATGTGAAGATATCTCACCTCTCTGGCACCCCTGCCGTATCTCACAACAACTGGCTCCTCTGACAT